AAGCTGAACAGAAAATTTCAAAGTTCAGCTTGAGAAGACAAAGTCAAATACTACAACAAAATGTGCAAAGATCTGGAGACAGAAAACCAAAAGGGAAGAACATGCTCAGCATTTCTCAAGCTGGGGAAACTGAAGAAAAAATTCAAGCCTTGACTTTTGTTATTAAACAATTCTCTGGGCAAATTATTGAATGTTGCAGAAAGCATCAAAACAAGATGGAAGGAATACACAGAGTCACTGTACCAAAAGGAAATGGTTGATAGTCAACTGTTTCAAGATGTAGCATATGATCCAGAGCCAATGATACTGAAGGAGGAAATCCAAGGTTCATTAAAGGAATTGGCAAAGAACAAGGCTCCAGGAATTGATAGAAAAAAATGGAAATCTTTTAAGAAAGTGAGGAGGCACAGGAGGCACTCACTCATCTCTGCCAAGAAATTTGGAAGACAACTATCTGGTCAACTGATTGGAAGAGATCTGTATTTGTGCCCATTCCAAAGAGAGGTACCCCAATGGAATGTGGAAATCATCAGACAACATCTTCGATATCTCATGCGAGTAAAGTTTTACTAAAGGTAATACAGAAATGGCTGCAAGTATACATTGACAGAGAACTTCCATAGGTTCAATCCAGATTCAGAAGAGGCCGTGGAAGGAGGGATATCATTGCTGATGTCCAATGGATCTTGGCTGAAAGCAGAGAATACCAGAAAGATGTTTACCTGTCCTTTATTGACTACACAAAGGCTTTAGATTGTGTGGATCATGACAAGCTATGGATAACACTGTGAAGTATGAGTATTCTGGAACACTTCATTGTGCTCATGAGGAATCTGTACCTGGACCAACAGGAAGTTGTTTGACTAGAACATGGGAACACTGAATGGTTTAAAATTAAGAAAGGTGTGCTACAGGGTTGTATTCTTTCACCATACTTATGCAACCTGTATGCTGAACAAATAATCTGATTAGCTGGGTTATATGAAGAAAAATGTGGCATCAGGATTGGAGGAAGACTCATTAACAACCTGCGATATGCAGCTGATACAACCTTGCTTGGTGAAAATGAAGAGGGCTTAAAATATATACTGATGAAGATCAAAGAGCACAGCCTTCAGTATGGATTACATCTCAATGTAAAGAAAACAAAAATCCTCACCCCTGGATGAATAAACATTCTTATCAATGGAGAAAAGATTGAAGTTGTCAAGGACGTCATCTTCTTGGATCAACTATCAACACTCAAGGAAGCAGCAGTAAAGAGATCAAGCGACGTATTGCATTAGGCAAATCTGCTGCACAAGATCTTTTTAAAGTGTTGATGAGTAAAGATGTCAGTTTGAGGACTAAGTTGTACGTGACCTAAGCCATGGTGTTTTCAATAATCTCATATGCAAGTGAAAGCTGGACAGTGAATAAGGAAGACCATAGAAGAATTGATACCTTTGAGTTATATATGGTGTTGGAGGAGAATATTGAAAGTGCCATAGGCTGCCAAAAGAACCAATAGATTCCTTTTGGAAGAAGTGCAGTCAGATCGCTCCTTGGAGGCCAAGATGGCCAAACTTTGTCTCTCATACTTCGGATATATTGTCAGGAGGGACCAGTTGCTGGAGAAGGATATCATGTTTGGTAAGGTGGAGGGTCAGAGAAAAAGAGGAAGACCCCCAGCGAGGCGAGATGGATTGGCAAAGTGGCAGCATCAATAGGCTCAAGCATGGCAAAGATTGAGAGGCTGGCTCATTTCCAGGCATTATTTGGTTCTGTTATACATCGGGTCGCTATGGGTCGGTACTGACTCTACGGCACCTAACAACAGCTCTCTATACTTCTGTGTATGGATATTTTTCTGTGTATTTTTGTATCTATATAAACCTCTTCATACATCTATTTATGTGTGTATGTGCGTATTGATATCTTACCTACCGATCTATCTATAGACGTTTCACTGGTTTTGCTTCTTTAGAGTAGAACCCAAATGAAGACACCAGGATATAGGGCAGAGCATGCTGTAGTGACTGGACATTTCAGTGCCAGCATAAAATCATTTATTTCCTGCTCATCTCACGGTCCGACGGCCATCAGAAGGTTCTCCTAGACATTCTCCTACAAGCAGTGGCGTATGTGCCCTGACTGCTTCTGTTCTGCGAATTCTGTGTTTAGAGTCAAATAGGAAGGCAAGTGAGCAGACAGCAATGGCAGGGAGAATCCCTGCCAATACCGGAAGTCAAATACATCACCTGGCCTCACATCTCACTGACCTCAGTCGCAGGGCCCCAAACGCACTGGAAGAGGCTTGAAAAGTACAGGAGCACTAAGCATCTTTGCCACAATTCTGCACAGTTGCCCAGGCAACTCTGTGGAAGAAAGAAAGACTCTGAAACAGCGGTCTTTCTCCCGGGATCGCTGTACACGGTTCTCAGATGGCATCTAATCAAAGAACATGTCAGAATAATTTTTTCCAAACAAGGTTTTAATTCCAATAGTAAGCACTTAAAATTTAAAAAACTTTTACTAATTAAAGTTTTTTCCAGTCTGCAAACCATGTTTCCACATTCTCCAACTGCTGACAAATTGGAAATAGTAAGTAATTAAAAAAATCAAAATGAGAAAGATTCCAATTAAATAGGTCTTTTTGCATTTTGAAGGCTTAAAAGGACACCAGTAACCTATGAAATAAGAAAATGGCACTTTGGCATGGTGTATAACTGTCAAAGTGCTCACAGACATTTTAAATATTCAATATACATACCTCAGGAGAAATCTAGCCTTAAGATTTTTATTACCTTCAGCATACTGTTTGATACTATAAACAAACACACTGAAGAAACTTAACACAATATTTAAATAAGAATTACGTTTGTGAAAGTTGACAAAATACTACCACAGTACTGTGGCAATACTGTGAGTTGGAATCATACCTTTAAGTATTCGAACTTTTCTTTTTCTGGCATGGTCAGAACATCTTAAAATATTTCCATAGTATTTTTATTTTAGAATCTGAAACAGTGAGTTTGCTCAGTTTTCTAATAAGACATTTCATAAGTAGAGTAGCTCTCAAAATCTTGAAAAGATTGCTTATGAAAGTAACATCCATATCGCAACAACTTACTTTCTTTTTAAGACACATCATCAAAAGGCATATGAGGGAGGGGGCTTCCAAAAGTTGGTAGAAAAATGGACTGAAAAGATCAGTGAATTTTTCCACAAATTTTCTGAAGCCTCCTCATCTTTTCACCCCACTATTTATTTCAACCTGGTAGTTTTAAGTTCTGCCCTTCCAGCCAGTTTTCCACTGGCTGGAAATGTAGATAATGGGGTAGTAGGAGGTAGGAGACCATCGCTTCCCTCTGAACTTCCAGGATGGTGCAGTCTTGTCATGTGCTCACCGTGGGCATGGGGACCAAGAGAAAGGAGTGAAGGAAGAACTCCAGAGCTGTCTTCTAGTCTAACTACCCAGAAGTCCTTATTACACAGTAATACTTAACTTAGAGAAGAAAACAAATAGCCAACCATGACGCTCAAAAGACAAAAGGCCAAGACCACAGGGGCCAGAGTGGTGATGTCCTTTGCTTCTAGTCTGAGGAAGAGAACCACGTTTCTGCTTGTCCTTCCTAGGGCTGATTTCAACTTAAATGATTAGTGAGTTAAAAGTACTATAAGACCTCAGGTCAGATAGATATTCCTTATTTGGAAATTCTAAATAAAGTACAAAAATAAATTTTACAATTATAAATCATTTAAAAATTATCTGTCATCTTTCTCCTTAAATTAGAGCTAGCAATCTGAAATGGATTGATATTAACTATAACAAAAACTATAATAACAAGTACCCTAAAAGCATGACTATTATTTTTAAGAGCTTACATACTAAGACTCCAAAATGAAATCCGATAGACACTTTGGGATATGGTTTGCGTCTCAGTGAAGAACTGTACTAACTGATCAGGATTCCTACTCTGAAGCAATAATTGATCAAGAATTTAATCCCATGCAAGAAACAAAAAGTGAACTGTTAACATTGACTATTTTGGGACGTCAAAATCCTAAAATCCTAGGGAATGATCTTAATTTCATGTACTCCCCTCAACTTTCAGTTGAGTGTTTCCATTTAAAAAAAGGGGGGGGGGGAAGGGGGAAACCTTCTGATGTTTTTTCCCCCTTTCCCCACAACAACCAAATAATTCAGCAAAGATATTCTAAAGTACAAAAAAGAAAATGGTCTCATTTTATTCAATCAAGGGTCCTAATAAGAACCCTCTCAGGGCTCTGGATTCCTGGTGCGGTGCTGTAGGATCAGCACTGTACTCTGACCCACAAGGTGGACAGTTTCCAATCCACCAGCTGCTCCCTAGAAACCCTACACAGGGTCGTGATGAGTCAGAACCGACTTGACGGCACCTAACTACTACCACAGGGTTCCAGTCCAGTTCTGAGGGGTAGCAGCAGCTGGACTAAGGGAACACTGCTTCTTTCTCTCCTGTTATTCGATTAATGGCTTTGTATAAAGTTCAAAAGAGCAGTTTCAGATGCATGCACCTTTTCATCAGAGGCCTCTTAGAATGCAGGAAGACTTAACCATGAATGGTCTCTCAAATGTTTAAAAGGTACATAAAAAGTTTAGTTATTCAAGTCAAAAAAAATGCCGAATTTTCTACTTGGAATTCTAAAGTTATTACAGTAATTCCAGCATGTGTAAACTACAAAATTACCTTTAACATTCACAATATGAATTACAATTTTTCTACAAAAATACAATTATCGGAAATACAGTACTTCTTCCCTGAAATAGAAATTTAATATTTGGACAATACACACACAACATAAAAAAACCCTGTAAACATTTGATTACATTCAAAATATAACCTTTTAAAAGATTTAAATGATTTGAGGTTTTGGCAAACTGGAGCTCTTGACAGCAGATTTACATTACTGTATTGTCTTAAACACAACAATGCCAACCCACAGCCAACAGTCTGTTTCTCTTATTCTTACATATGCTACCAGGAGGAAAAAAATGGCTTCCTGCAATGAACAGTCTGAGTAAATGAACTGCTGAGGTGGACAATCCGACCCTGACCTCCACCATGACTTCGTTCCACAATCACACACGGCATCTGAACCAGCTGGACGGGGCTCTTCCCATCTTTCAGCGCCTGAGTGAGGTTCAGGATCTATGGACAGAGACAATACTATCACCAAGTTGAGCAAGACACATTTCTGCCCATTTATTCATGACTACGATTTTGACTTGTTTCTGCACAACAGAGTCTGTAATGAGGAATAAATAACAAATACGAGGGGACTCAGAAAGTTCTTGGAAAAATGGAAATAAAAGACACCTGGTATTTTTTCATGAACTTTTGGAAGCCACTTAGTGTGTGTATATATATGTGTGTGTATGTCTGTGTTTATTTATGTGACTCTGGTGATGCGGTGGGTTAAGCACTTGGCTGCTAACCCAAAGGTCAGTGGTTTGAATCCACCAGCTACTCTGTGGGAGAAAGATGAGACCGTATGTTTCTGTCAAGATTTACAACCTTGGAAACCCTAATGGGAAGTTCTCTTCTGTCCTACAGGGTCGTTACGAGCTTGAATCAACTGAATGGCACTGAGTTTGAGGTTTGGTATATATATATATATATATTTACACATGCACACACACACATGTGCGAAATTCGAACTGAATAACTTCTGCTAATTGGTAACTTTAAAGTATGTAAAGACGCTCCTCTATCTAGGAGCAATAAAAATAGGAACCGGATATAAAGTGAATGGTTCTACATATTCCAATTGACACAGACGCTAAACAATACTTGTCAAAATAGTCTGGTTTTATTTTGTACTTGTCTTGCCCATCCATTCCACAAACCCAGTGATGGCATGCCTACTATTCAGTGTGGGAGTCCCGGTGTGGCACTGTAGGGTAAGCACTGAACCACAAGGTCGGTTTGAATCATGAGGCCGGCAGTTCAAAATTACCAGCCATTCCTTGGAAACAGCACTAAACCACAGCAAAAACTAAGTGTAAGGCTCTAAGTAAAAATAATAACAAAATAAAATCTCTTGATGAAGCTGGTATTTATCCAAGGGAAGGGAGTTCATAAATGTTGTAAGTAAGAGAGTTTGACAATATATTATTAATACAATATACAATATTAATATAATATATGAAAAAGTGAAAATACTAGGGGGAAACCTGAAGCAGCGTGAGCAGGTTAGAGAATTTGGGGCAATGTAGCCATTTACAACAAAGTTTTATTTAAGAGCTTACTTTTAAATAGGAAGAAAACGACTGGGAAAAGTAATATCTTACATTTCACATTTAAAAGATACGCAGAATTTCTAAATAAGGCTGTGAAACTCAATATATAACTTGTAGTATAGTCTATGCCCTGTTCAAGGAAAAAAAAAAAAAGATTTAAGAATTCTTTTCCTGTCTTTCCTGCATATCAGGAAAAACATTCCTGAAACAACAGTCCCTATGAGCTGGAACCAACTCAACAGCACTTAACAATTGGCAACAAACAATGCCTTTCACTGGCTTAGAAAAGACAGTGACATGCATAACAGTGTCACCCTAAAGTCCTTCTAGTGCTTCAGAGTCTGGAAGAGTTGGGGCATCTTGCATAGCAAGGAAACAAACCTAGACCAGTCACAGTAGCTACTGACTGTTATTGATTGGCTCATAGTAGGAACAAGTGGACTACCACTTCCTCCACGAACAAGAACAGAAAAAGGCCGCCTACCTGACCCCGCATCACAGACATCTGACTTTCAAAGGTGGTCTTGTTGAACCCCTTATCCATCTACCACAGAAAGGAGAAAAAAAAGGTCATTCTAAGTATATCAAGATGTCTGAAACAAATGAACTCTACAACTTACCACTCTACAGGTTATGTGTCCACCTGGTACACACTTGCTTTTCTTGTTGCATGAAATACCGTGAAAAAAAATATTTTTACCTTCTGTCTTTTTAATATGCCTCAGAATTACCACAATAGTTTCACTGATTCATACTCTAACTTGTGTCAGAAAGGATTGAAGGTGACTTTCTAGCCCAGGGGTTTAAGTTTCTTAAGATGTTGTTGTTGCTGTTACGTGCCATTGAGTCAGTACCGACTCACAGCAACACTATGCACAACAAAATGAAACACTGCCCAGTCCTGGACCAACCTCACAATTGTTGCCATGCTTGAGTCCACTGATGCTGCCACTTTGCCAATCCATCTCACTAGGGGTCTTCTTCTTTTTCTCTGACTCTCCACCCTACCAAACATGATATCCTTCTCCAGCAACTAGTCCCTCCTGACAATGTATCCGAAATGTGAGAGACGAAGTTTGGCCATCCTGGCCTCCAAGGAGCACTCTGGCTGCACTTCTTCCAACACAGACCTTTTGGTTCTTTTGGCAGCCCATGGCACTATCAATATTCTCCTCCAACACCAAAACTCAAAAGCATCAATTCTTCTATGGTCTTCCTTATTTACTGCCTAGCTTTCGCATGCATAC